TTTATTTAGAGACAGAGTCTTGCTCTGTCTCCAGGCTGCAGTGCAACGGTGCGATCTCAACTCACTGCAGACTCCGCCTCCCTGGTTCAAGGGATTCATTCTCCTGCCTCAGCCTCAGTAGCTGGGACTACAGGTGCATACCACCATGCCCAGCTAATTTTTGTATTTTTAGTAGAGATGGGGTTTCACCATGTTGGCCAGGATGGTCTCAATTTCTTAACCTTGTGATCCGCCCACCTCGGCCTCGCAGTGTTGGGATTACAGGCAGGAGCCACCATGCCCAGCAGGACTTTAATTTATTGAACTTTTTCCTTATGGATAGTGTGAGGTAGGATCTAATTTTATTTTTTCCAAATAGGATACGATTTTTGGAAATCTATGTAGTGTGAATAAAACTATGTAGTACTACATAGTTTCCTCAAACATTTGGCACTGTATCTTATTTAAATAAATCAGTGAACAGTGTATATCTGAACTCTACTCAGTTCTATTAGTTTAATTGCCTTTTCTAGCACCAATATCATACCCTTTTAATTCCTATAATTTTATAGAATTATGACTGCTTTAGAACAAAAATATATTATTTTACATATATTCCTCTGGTCAATTCATGTACATTTGTTCTTCCATATTAATCTTAGAGCCAGCTTGTAAAATTGAAATGAAAAATCATATTGAGTTGCAATTGATATTTCATTGATTTTAGAGACTATTTTGGAAGAATTTATTCTATTTTCCAAATGCTTTAACCTTTTTATTTGCTTAAACTTTATTATAAATTTTTTGTTTTATTGCATGCAAGAAAATATAGGCTTCTCCCACCAATAAATGCTAATTGAGTGCCTACTCAATGGTATAGCCACTGTACTAGACTCTGAGGATTCAGTGGTGATGACACAGACATGTTCTCTGCTCTCTTGTGGCTTAAATTTCTTGCCTTTTGAAAGTTATTAACATTTCCTTTGTGGGTTGGAAAAATGATTAATTTTTTTAAATGCTAAGTGGAACGTGTTAAGATTACATATTCTATGTTTGTAGATTACAGATTTTGAAATATATCTAGTAAATAACCTTATTAATGAAATTATTCATATCGCTCATATTTTTATTTCTTTTTGCCTACTTGATTTGACAAAGACTAAGCGATGCAATAATATTAAGGTATCCTATTAAGAGTGTGACTTTGCCAAATTCATCTTGGTATTTCTCATAGCTTTTGCTCGTATATTGCTTTTTTAAAAATACCATTTGTTAGATTTTTTAATAAAGAAAATGTTAAAGAATATCCCATAATCCCACCATCAATATAAACTTTACTAACCCCCATCCTGTGTGCACATGCGGAAATACAGATGGTACAGAAACGCTGCAAAGAAAAACTCGAGTTTTTTGCGTCATGATCCCTCTTCCCACTGTTAACCATTAGCAGGTTTTATCTGCAGTAACCTTCTTTCCCTCCAGTGCTGTCTCACAGAACCTTCCATTTCTGGAACTTCAGTGATGAATTGAATGGGGGCTCTATCTAATGACACAGCCTCCACCCTGTCTTGAAGCGGGTGTTCTCCAAATGCAACCCCAGTCTTGCTGCCAATGCCTCCTGCTGTGAAACTGCTTAGGCCTAGGAAGCCTGCCTTCTAGAGCAGTGCTTCTCAGGCATCTATGTGTACACAGATTATGATGGATGTTGATGAAAAGCAAATTCTAATTCAGTGGGCTGGTGTAAGACCTATGATTCTGCATTTCCCCCTTTTTTTTTTTTTTGGAAGACAGAGTCTGCTCTGTCGCCCAGGCTGGAGTGCAATAGTGCAATCTCGGCTCACTGCAACCTACGCCTCCAGCGATTCTCATGACTCAGCCTCCCAAGTAGCTGGGATTACAAGCACTTGCCATGGCGCCTGGCTAATTTTTGTATTTTTAGTAGAGACATAGTTTTACCATGTTGGCCAGGCTGCTCTCGAACTCCTGACCTCAGGTGATCCACCCACCTTGACCTCCCAAAGTGCTGGGATTACAGGCGTGAGTCACTGCACCCAGCCGGTTATGCATTTCTAACAAGGTAACCAGAGTGATGTTTGTGGGCCACTCTTTGAGGCGCAAAGGCCTGTCCTTAAATTTGGCTGTACTTTGGGGAGTTTTATAAAATATGAATGCCTTTGGGAGGCCGAGGTAGGCGGATCACCTGAGGTCAGGAGTTCGAGACCAGCATGACCAATATGGCGAAACTCCATCTCTACTAAAAATACAAAAATTATCCACGCATGGTGGCGGGTGCCTGTAATCCCAGCTACTCAGGAGGCTGAGACAGGAGAATTGCTTGAACACCGGGAGGTGAAGGTTGCAGTGAGCTGAGACCACGCCACTGCACTCCAGCCTGGATGACTACAGTGAAACTCCATCTCAAAAAAAAAAAAAAATGAGTGTCTGGGAAACACCCCTAGAAATTCTGATTTGGTATGGGTTGCAGCCTACACATAGAGCAGTTGAAAGCTCCCCAGGTAATTCTAATATGCAGCAAAATTTGAGAGCCACTGTTCTACATATGTTGTCTCCCTCATCTCCACTCTTGCTTTTGCTGCAAAGTTACTCTCAGCAGATGCTTGAACTGACGCAGTGAGTGCAGCTTTGGTAGCCTTTTCCCCTGGAGTCCTAGAGAGGACCAAGATCTCTGCCATGTGCTTTTCAGAGCAGGCTTCCCTTGCTATGGAAAGGCTCTGAGGATGCTTCTCACTTAGTTTTCTTCTGCAATCATGGGACATGTCCCTGAAGTTTCATGCTCCCTCAGGGTTCCCCTTCTTCTGGGAAGGCACTGTTTTTGTCTTGTGGTATCCCCCAGAGTGAGAGATAACAAAATCAGAATGTTCTGGCTGTGCTGAAAGCATCCATTGAGCAAGTATATCTTAGCCCATCTTTACTTCCTGGATCAGATAATCTTCCCAGGAGATCTTCTCCATCATCCAGCATCAAACACAGGCCTGCCTCCATCTGCATTTGTCCGACCTGACCCCGCTTTATTCAGTCTTATCTTTGCACTGCCTTTCCTTAGAAAAAGTGGTCCTCCACGTGGATCCCTAGGCAGTAACCTCAGCATCATCTGGGAATTAGTTAGAAATTCAAAATTCTCAAGCTCCACCCCAGACCTATCAAAGCAGAAACTCTGTGGGCGGGACCCAGCATTTAGTGTTTTATCAAGCCCCCCAGGTGATTCTGATGCCTACTCAAGTTGGAGCACCCCTGCCTGAGAGCATCAGATGCTGATTCATTTGGCCTGGGCTGGTGTTCAAGCATCACTAGGTTGAAAAGATTCCCCAGGTGAACCTTATGTGCAGCCAGGCCAATGAACCACTGCTTCAGGGGTCCTAATTCCTTAAGTTAACAGGGACCATTTCTCAGGGACCAAGTAATACCTTGATCTCCAGCTACAGTGGTTCCAGCACCTTCTATTATTTTATACTGATCTTCCTCTTCTTAAATTTGTCTGGATTCTCTGTAACTCTGTATATTAGATGCCCCAGTATCTAAGGAGAGAGTTGCTATTTGCTCCAATGATATGTGCTCACTTGCTCTCTTTCTCTTCTTTCTCTCTCTCTTTTTCTGTCTTTTCTTTCTCTCCCTTCCTTTCCTTCCCTTCCTCTCCCTTTCTCTCATTTTCTCTCCTCCTTCTCTTTATTCTTTTTCTCTTGCTTCTTTCTCACTCTCTCTCTCTCTGTGTGTGTGTGCACGCGCGTGTGTGTAAGAGGTTTCCTGCATACGGTTCCCTTGGGGAGAATCATTCTACTCTCCTCTCTGAGATCTTGCTTCTCTTCCTTAGTGAATTTCTGCGGCCTCAATTACTATTTCTGGTCTAGTCACAACTGAGACATAGCCCCTTCTCAAATGCTGTGCCTACATTTATTTCCCTTTCCTGTAGCCTATTCTGCCTTCAAGATCACATTTGCCATTTCATATCCATCCAATCTGTTCCTGATATCTCAATGTTTCTCTTCAGAAAATCTATCTCTTCCTCCAGCTTAGTGGAGCTGTTTTTCATTATATTTCCTTTCTTCTACTGCGTATGTTTTGATCATCTGACGCGTACTTTTCTCCAAATACCCTGATTTTCTAGACAACTTAATTCTCAGAGATGGAGTCCTTCAAGGACGAGCTTCCTTAGCTCTTTTTATAATTTTCTGGGGTTGTGACGTTACTGAGTTGTTTCTCTGTGAACCTAAGATGATAACACAGCTCTTTATAACAGATTCCCTGTTCCTTCTTTACATTAATAAAATATGCTATATTGAGAGTGAAGCCTGGAGTTGAATCTCTAAATCCAAGGCCATGATTATTCCAGAGGCAACTATAGACCATATGGAGGGGTGTGTGAACCCTAAGAGCCTGTGGGGAAGCCAAGTTAATTCCCAGCTCTTCTTAGCCCTGTACCACAAGGCAACACAGCAAGGCATGGGGTTTTGGCAGCCTCCCTGCGCTGTCTACCTCAGCCTCACACTGGCAGTACAACTGTACAGGCTCACACATGGCATTGCAGGGCATGGAACGTGGGTGCAGTATAAATTGCACTGAAAAATCACAAAAGTGATAGGTAATTGTTCCTCCTCTTAATGTGTAAAAGGTCTGTGTGGCAGTATATCAAAGAGATACCTGCACTTCCATGTTTATTGCAGTACTATTCACAATGGTCAAGATTTAGAAGCAATCTAAGTGTCCATCAAGAACATGTGGTACCTATATGCAAGGGAGTACTATTCAGCCAGAAAAAAGAACAAGATCCTGTCATTTGTAACAACCTGGATGGAACTGGAGGACATAATGAAGCGTTAAGTGAAATAAGCCAGAAACAGAAAGACAAACTTCACATGCTCTCACTTATTTGTGGGAGCTAAAAATTAAAACAATTGAATTCATGGAGATAGAGAGTAGAAGGAGGGTAACCAGTGGCTGGGAAGGGTAGTGTCGGGGAGAGGAGGGATAAATTGTACAAAAATATAGACAACAGGGTGATGATTGTCAATAAAAATTTATTATACATTTTAAAATAACTAAAGGAGTATAATTGGATTGTTTGTAACACTAAAGTAAGGACAAATTCTTGAGGTGATAGCTACCCCGTTTACCCTGATGGGATTATTATGCATTGTCTGCCTGTATGACAGTACCTATGTACCCCATAAATATATGTACCTACAACGTACCCATAAAAATTCAAAATTCAAAAAAGGTCTATATGCTAGGCTGAATAATGATGTTTCTGTCCAAAGAAGTTTATGGCTTAGTCTCTGGAGCCTGCGGCTGTGGTAAAGGGGTATTGACCTGCACTGGGCACCAGAAATGGGGAGATGAGTTTCTCCCAGCTCACTCATTGAACACTGCACCAATCAAGCCCAAAGCTCTACAGAATCTATCTCATTGAGTCCCCACAAGGACCCTATGGAGATCAAGTCTATTTGCATTGCCATTGAGTTCTACACTGAAACCAGGATAAGTGAAGCAATTTGCAACAACTACCAAAATAATTTTGTGCTTACAACCAACTAATTCAGCAAGCATCTCTGTTCCACCATGTTCTTGAGTTGATCCCCACGGCCCTTCCTCCAGAAACAAGAGCAAAGCTGTGGTTGAGTGTCAGTGAGCACTGGTGGATAGGAAGGTCGGTTCTTCCTCTGTATCTCATTTGCTATGGAGCCCCCATTGACCTGCACTGGGCCTTCAATATCATCACCCATGTGAAGCTTTGCAAGGCATGGGGTGGCTAGACATCTCCCAGAGATAATTCTGGAAAGTCAGCCCAAACGTTACAACTGGAAACAAAATTTTGTTTTAGAAAAATAAATCTGACATTGTCACTCCCCTACTAAAAACGCCTCTATATGGCTCCACATTGCTCTTAGGGAAAATTGCAACTATTTAAAATGGCCCATGAGGTTCTGTCATGTCTGGTACCTGTTTACTTTGCTAGTCTCATTTCAAACCACCTCCTAATTTTTTTAATAGAATTTTTAAATGTTTATTAAAGTACATATATATGGTTTAGAGTCAAATAGCAGCATTAACTGACAATAAAAAACAAAGTCCCCACTAATATCTTCGTTTCCTCTTCCACAAACAGCTACTTTACATGCTTTCACTGGTCTCTTCTGTTTACCTTTATAATTCAAAATAATGATTTACACTGCTAGTTTCACATTTTTACAGAAAAATCTGTTGACTTTCTAGCAAGAAAGAAGAGGGTCTAGTTATCTTACACCACACTACACACTTCCCCCTCTTCCCATCCTTCTAACATAGTTACATCACAATTTTTGTTAAGTACTTAATATTTATATTAGAACTGTGTAAATATTGACCATAGCTGAGCCATGTAGTGTACTATTAATATATGCTTTTCTTGTATGATTTTTGTTTTTTTCAAGAGTTAACAATTGCTTTGTTTTTATCATTTCCTAGTTTTTACCACAGTTTTTCCCTTTCCCTTTCTATGGGATCTCATTTCCTGGATCCCATGCTTTTCTCTTTCTTGGTTTTATCCCTTGTCTTCCAGTAGCACTTTGAGAAGGAACACATAAAAGCTAACTATATTTTTATCTTGCATATCTGAAAATGTGTTTATTCTACTCCAGTTAAATAACGGATGAACTTCGGAATCCTTGGTTGGAAATAGTTTTTTCTTATAACTTTTAAGTCTTTGTGTCACGTCATCTAGCTTCCAGGGTTGCTGTTAGGAAGGTATACTGTTCTGGTTTCTAATTCTTTGTATCCAAATTTTTCCTTTCAAGAAGTTTTCAGGATCTTCTTTTTATACTAGGTGTTGTGAAATTTCGTGACAATATGCCTAAGTGTGGGTCTTTTTTCAATGGGCTAGAGTGTTTCCTTCCATCCTTCCATGCTTCCTTCCTGCCTGCCTTCCTTCCTGCCTTCCTTTTTCTCTTTGAAACAGAATCTCACTCTCTCACCCAGGCTGGAGTGCAGTGGTGTGACCACAGCTTACTGCAGCCTCAACCTCCTGGGCTCAGGCAAATCCTTTTGCCTCAGCCTCCCGAGTAGCTAGGACCACAGGCACACACCACTATGCCCAGCTACTTTTAAAATTATTTGTAGAGATGAGGTCTCCCTATGTTGCCCAGGCTTGTCCTGAACCCCCCAGGCTCAAGCAATCCTCTCGCCCCAGCACTCCAAAGTTCTGGGATTATAGGTAGGGGCCACTGTGCCTGGCCTGGAGTGTTACATTTCAATCCTGAAATTCAAGTCCTTCAATTCTGGGAAATTTTCTTGTATTTCTTCTTCTTTTTTTTTGATAATGTTTTCCTTTATGCTTTCCCTTCTCTTATTCTAGAACAGTTATTAACATCATTCTAGACCTCCTGAATTGATTTATTTCTTCTCTCTTTCTTGGCCTCTGATAGGTGGATGTTGGACCTCCTGGATTGATTCTTTAATTTTCTCATATTTATAACCTATTTAATAACAAGTTATCTTAGCTTGGGCAACATGGTAAGACCCTGTCTCTATAAAAAAATACAAAAACTTAGCCAGGTGTGGTGGCACATGCCTGTAGCCCCAGGTACTTGAGAGGCTGAGATGGGAGGCTCACTTGAGCCCAGGAGGTCCAGGCTCTGTGAGCCATGATTGCACCACTACACTCCAGCCTGGGATAGAGCAAGACCCTGTCTCAAAAAAAAAAAAAAAAAAAAAGTTATCTATGTTTTTATTGTAACTTCTGTGTTATCTTAACTTTATCTTCCAACCCTTTTGTGCTATCTTAACATTCCCTTAAAAAATATATATGTAACATTTAAATCTTATTTTATGACTGCAATGCCCTCTTGTATCTTTCAGGAGATATTATTTATGGGTGTTTATTTCAATGTATTGTCTCTTTTTCCTCCTAGTTGCCTTTTTGTATTTTCCTGACTCTTTGGTCTCTGGCTTTCATTATGGAGTTTTCCACAAATATCTGGTGACTCTTGACTGTCATTCATCTATACATTCATATACATGAATGACAGTCAACAGTATAAGTGTATAAGTGTGGTGTAAGAAGCTGACTGGGGCCGGACACAGTGGCTTAAGCCTGTAATCTCAGCACTTTGGAAGGCTGAGGTGGGTGGATCACCTGAGGTCAGGAGTTCAAGACCAGCCTGGCTAACATGGCGAAACCCTGTCTCTACTAAAAATAAAAATAAATTAGCTGGGCATGGTGGTCCTTGCCTGTAGTCCCAGCTACATGGGAGCATGGGAGACTGAGGCAGAAGAATTGCTTAAACCTGGGCCAAGATCACCACTGCACTCCAGCCTGGGCAACAGAGAGAGACTTCACCCCCCAACCCCCACAAAAAAAGAAGCTCTATGCACCTGGGTGGGGCCCAAGGGTGACTAGAGACTGGCAATTTCGTTAGAGGGCTTCAAATCTCAAATGGTGGTCTCTGTCGACATTTTCCCCTCTGCTGGGTGGCTTCCCCAGAAAAGAATTCTCCAGCCTCCTGACCTAGAGATGGAGGAAGGCATGGGAACAGCTCTAAGCCCAGCTGCCCACATCCCATGAACAGTGTGGGAGGACAGGATGTGAATCCCACCCTTTCATTCTTTTGTTTTCCTCCCAGTTTTAGTCTGGGTCTCACTGTTTCCTTCGTGAACGCCCCAAATCCTGAATCGCCTCCAATCAGCTTCTCAAAGGGTAAACTTCTCGTCTTCTACTGTGGTGGGAGATGTGGTTGGTCGCCTGGCTAAATGAGGCTTCAACCCGTCCTCTCCTGTGGCTCCCTCTCTCTGCCCTGTGGTCCTCGATACTCAAGAGGCTGAGGCAGAAGATGTGCCTGAGCCTGGAAGGCTGAGGCTGCTGTTAGCCATGATCATGCCACTACACTGCAGCCTGGGTGACAGAGTGGGAGTCTGTCTCAAATAAAGAAAAGTGCCAGCTTCCCATGTCTGAGCCTTTCCCAGTTCCCCCGGTCCCACAGGCTGGATGTTTTGCTCCTGGCAGGCTCCCCTTCCTACAGGCTGAGATGTCAGCTTTCCCTGCTTTGCAAGTCCATTACCATCACCCATCTGCCCTCCATCTTCCAAAATTGTGTTAAACTCTCCTGTCTGTTTCTGTCTCCTCTCCTGTTCTCCTTATCCTGTGGTTTACACATTTTTAAATTCCACTAAAGTCCGTTTTGGTGAGGTTTCAGGAGTGAGTAGGAAAAACGCATCTTCAAGCAGCCATCTTCTCTAACGTTCCCCACATTTCTCCATGGTTTTCTTTGTGGAAGTCGCATCTGCTTCCTCTCTGGTTCTGAGACATGCCAGCGTAGTACTGCCTCTGTGCCTCTGTGTGTGCTGCCTCCCCTCCTGGAACATGCTCCGCTCCTTTCACCTGCTAGTCACCTGGCTCATAGTGACTCACCAGACATGTGTCAGCTTAAAAGTTGCCCCTCAGAGAGGCTCCCCCAATCCCGGGCCTCCTGCCTACCTAAAGCAGTTCTAGTGATTACCTTGTCCCCCCATCAGCGCTGCTGCTTCTGAATCTTCTGTGACCCATTCTTTCCTTCTCAGACTCAGGAGGTTTTCAGAAAGAGAAAGAGAAGCCAGAAGGGCTTCCTTCCCAGAGCCCACAGCGCCCTGCAGGAAGCTTCCTGGGCCTGGCCCTGGCTTCGCTCACCCTCTGCACAGATGCCTGGCTGCCACCCTGAGTGGCTGAGCCGGTCCCTGGGATCTCTTCCAACTGCTGGCCAAGAGCGAGAGGTCAGCTGAAACAAGGCCTTCTCTTTGTTCTCTCAGCCTGCCCACGCATCCTGGATCTTTTCATTGCACTCTGTTTTTTTGTGTTCCTGTCACTCTCTGTCTCTCGGTCTCCATCTCAGTGTCTCTCCCTGGTCCTGTTTTCTCCTCTCCTCCTCCTCCCCACCCACCTTCTCTTCTCCCATTCTCTCTTCTTTCCTGTCCACCCACCTCATTTCCCCTTTGTCTGTCTCCACGTTCTTCCCGAGCCCTCCCTGGCTCTGGCTCTGAGGATCTCTCTCTCTCTCTCTCCTTGGCACCCACGCACCCAGAAGGTGCCCCCACCTCCTTCCACGGCCTCTCTTCAAGTGCATGGCTGCGGGGCCTTCCTGCAGCGAGGCCCAGGTGTGGCATGGCCCGGTGGCCGGCCAGACCGCCTGCTGTCTCACACCCTTGTAAGGTTACTATTTATCTAGTGCAACCGAAGTTGGCGCACACATCTGGCGCCTGGTACTTAGTGCAATTATTTATGATTTCCACCAAGATTTAAAAGCTCATCGCCGGCCTTGTAATGCAGTAACTGATTGCGCTGCTAATGTAATTAAGAAAAGATTATGATGTCCACGTGGCGTACCAGATGGTGGCATTCATAGTAATCGGCGTGCACAACTGGCAGACAACTGCACAAGGGCAGCCGAGCGGAGGCAGCTGGAGACCAGCATCTTCCTCCGTCACTCAGGAAGGAGAGGAGGCTGCTGGGAGTGCTGGACAGGGTCAGAGGGTGGAGGGGCGGGGGAAGGAGAACCCAAGAGGAGAGTAGGGGTCCAGCTCCCCTGATCTGTGACTCCTGAGTGGATTCTGTTATTGTACACACACGTGCTCTGTTTAAAAACAGATATGCTGTCAAAGTTTTGCTGATAAAGTTTTGTTGTTCACGCACTGATAAAGTTTTGGTCATACACATGCACACAAGGGCACATGCAGACACATACACACATACACAGATCTCTATGAATAAGGGACTCTTGCCCTCATGTATTCGAAAACTTTGACTAAGTGTCCAGTTGTGCTAAGCCCTGAGAATATATCAATAAATAAAACAACAATGAGTCCCTTCCTTGCAGAGCTCAACAGATTAGAGAAGGAAAGCACATAGATCAAATAACCACAAGAATAAATGAAAAGCTGAATTGTAATCAATGTTATAGAGAGAGGTGGGTGGGGTTATGAGGGGTTTGTGGGTCCGTTGGCCTGGTCGGGAAGTTCAGGGAAAGCTTCTCTGAGGAAATAACAACTGAGGTGTGATATGAACAGTGAGTAAGAGCTAATAGGTGATGAGAGAAAGGAAGGGGGTTTCAGCAGAGGGAGCATGTGCAAAGGCCCTGGGGTTGGGGGGGAAGCACAGCTAATACATGAGTGTAAGGAAAAGTCCAAGGCAAAGTTGAAGAAGAAAAACAAAGCTGTATGCCAAGACTTTTAATAAAGCTGTAGTAATGAAGGCAGTGTGGTATTGGTGCAAGGGTGGACAAACAAGCCAATGGAACAGAGGAGAAAGTCTGGAAACAGACCTACACATACATGATTCCTGTATGTATGACAGGCAACATCACAGTCCAATGGGAAAGGAGTGATCTTTTCAGTAAATGGTGCTGGGTCCATTGCATATCTATAAGAAAATAAAGAAAAACAAAGATATCTTGACCCCTATCTCACATCACACAAAAATCTATTCCAGATTATTACAGAGCTTTGTAGAACTAAATGTGAAGGGTAAAACAATAAAACTTTGCTTTTTTTTTTTGAGATTGAGTGTCACTCTTTCGCCCAGGTTGTAGTGCAGCAGCATAATCTCGGCTCACTGCAACCTCCACTTTCTGGGTTCAAGCAATTCTGCTGTCTTGGATTTCCAAGTAACTGGGATTACAGGTATGTGGCACCACACCCAGCTAATTTTTTATGTTTTTAGTAGAGATGGGGTTTCACCATGTGGGCCCATAGGGTTTCATCATGTTGGCCAGGCTGGTCTCAAACTCCTGACCTCAAGTGATCCACCCACCTCAGCCTTCCAAAGTGCTGGGATTACAGGTGTGAGCCACCATGCTCAGCCCAGCCAACAATAAAGCTTTTGGAGGAGAACAATTCTATGACCTTGGAGTAAGCAAATGTGTACTAAACAAGTCACATAAAGGCTATGTAAGAAAAAATTTATAAATTGAACATATTAAAGTTTAAAAATTCTACTAAAAGATACCAGCAAGAGAGTGAAAAGCTAATGAAAAGAGTGAGAATAGATGCTTACAATTCATATGTTTAACAAAGAACTTAGATTCATAAGATATAAAAAGTTGCTACAACTCAATAAGAAAAAAATAGACAACTCACATTTTTAGTGGGGGAGAAAAACTTTTAACAGGCACCTCAAAAAAAAAAGATATTCAAAAGGCCAATACACAGATGATAAGATACTTGACTTCATTAGTCGTAAGAGAAATGCAAACCAACTAAAGTTACAAGATACCATTACCATCCACCATGACAGCTAAAAAGACAAAATACCAAATATTAAAGAGGACCTGGAGAACAAGAACTCCCATGCACTGTAGGGGTACTTCAGCAAATTTATTGTCTCCTAAAACTGAATATATACACACCCGTGGCCCAGCAATTCCACTTGTGGATATACACCACACTAAATGTTTATCATGGGCATGAACTAAAATGTCTGTAGTTGTACCATCTATAATAGTCAAAAACTCAAAACTACCTAAATGCCCATAGGTAATATAATGAATAAATTTGTCAAGATAGATAAATTGTGGTATATTAATGCATTTAAATATTATACAAAAATGCAAATAAGCAAATTACAAAAGGGTCTCTGATATCATAGAACTTTGGAGAGGCTTGGTCTCAAAGATGCCACGTGTAAGGGAAAGTGGGAGTAGCACATGGGGCTTAAAGCAAGGGGGTTGACTGAAAGCTGGTGGCTAATGCTATCTACTCCTAGACCTCCCCACCCTACTCCTACACACAGAACACTCGGAACTCTAGTGTCTAGCTACCAGGCAAGAGGTCAGAGTGTTCCTCACTGGGGACAGCCCCAGCAAAAAGACTACTTTATTCTAGCCCTACCTCATTTGGGGTGTTTGGCTCAACTACCCATGTATACCAGTCAGCTTTTCATTGCTTGCCTCTTAAATGTAAACAGATAGCCAAGATAAAATCGAGAAATTAAGTGTATAAACAGAAAACATGACCCCAGAGGAAATCAAGATAATATGCAAAGTAAAAGACTATTTCAAAAGAATCAGAGTAGTATGCCCAGAAAAATTAAAGATGAAAAACTTGTGGCTAGACTATGTACTGTACTGTCTACGAAAAAGAAACAATCAATAAGAAATGACTCTGAGAAATCAAAAATTGAAGTGCTGAACAATTCAGTAGAATTAAAAGATAAATGTAAGGGATTCTCCCAGGAGGGAAGATCAAGAAAAAGGAGGCAGAAAATATAAGAAAATAAGAAACATAAAGGATTTATTTATGGGTTTCAATAGTTGACAATGGTAGATCCAGAAAAAAAAAATTTTAAAAGGGAGCTGGGAAGAAGAATTAACAAAGATATAATACAAGAAATTTTCTCACAGCTGGAGAACACAAGTCTACCGAATAGACAGAACTACTGAATGCTCAACAATGATGAATGCAAAATAATCAACATACAGACACACTGCCATGAAATGTCAGAACACCAAAAATAGAGAGGAAATAGAAAAAGCTTCAAGAAAGAAAAATATATGTCATACATAAAGAATTGAGTGCCAAAATGCCATCAAATGTTTCAATAGTAACATTGGGTACAATATTTTCAATATCATCAAAATTCTGAGAGAAATCATTTTTACCTGAATTTATATGTCCAGCCAAACTATTGACCAATGTGAGATTAAAAGAAAGAATCTCAGAAAGCTTATCTCCAGTGCACTCTTTTTAAAGGAAATTACTTGAGAATGTGCTTCAGCAAAATGAAGGAGTAAACCAAGAAAAGGATACACAGTATCCAAGAAACAATGGGCCAACCCAGAAAAACAGCAAAGAGAAATCTCAGAAGGGAAGAATGCACAGAGCCAAGGAGGAGCCAGTCCACATTGGAAACAGGGTCCCTGGAAAGGGAGAGTGTAATAAAATACGGAATTGGATGGGGAGGCTGGAAACAAATGCAAATATGATAATGGCAAATGGCGCAAGGGGAAAAGGGCAGGTAGAAATTCCAGATTCGGGGCGGGGGGGTGCAGAATGGTATTAAAAAAGTAAAATACAAAGTAAAATAAAACACTACCTGGCCTTCCAAAGGAACAATATTTAGTGTTTTTTTGTGTGTGGAGGGGTGTAAGCTAAACTCCCACCTATGAGCTAAACCCTCAGCAGGAATACAATGACTAATGAAAGATATATAATAAGTCAAAAAACAGGAATGGAAGCATTTATTTTATTTATTTTTTTTTTTGAGATGGAGTTTTGCTCTATTGCCAGGCTGGAGTGCAGTGACACGATCCTGGCTCAGTGTAACCTCCGCCTCCCAGGTTCAAGCGATTCTCCTGCCTCAGCCTCCTGAGTAGCTAGGACTACAGGCATGTACCACCACACTCGGCTAATTTTTGTATTATTAGTAAAGATGGGGTTTCACCATATTGGCCAGGCTGGTCTCAAACTCCTGACCTCAGGTAATCTGCCCACCTCAGCCTCCCAAAGTGCTGGGATTATAGGCGTGAGCCACAGTGCCAACCCGGAAGCATATTATTGCAAGTGATCAGAGATACTGTAACTAGTAGCTATAAAGGAGCTGAAAGTGGCTTCTGGGTTGAGAACTAGGGATTCGGGGTGGATGTGAGCAGAGATGTATTTTTTTTTTAATGTATATAATACACTAATGTCTTTTTTAAATGGCCTTAAACTCCGGTTACAAAGTAGAACTCTGATTACAGGTGGTCAAGAACAGATTCAGGGAGACTGGTTAGGATATTGCAGCAGTACCAGCAGGAAACAAAGGTTTATTGGACTAGATTAGTGGTTGGTGGAAATGGGGACACGATGACGCCGTTAGGAGATCAAATTGACAGGCCTTGCTGGTGGGTTGGGTGAAGGGATAGTGAGAAAGATGAGGATCCAGGGACGACTAGTTTCCTGCTTATGTTTGTGGGTGGACAGTGGAGCCCTCTGCTGAGAATCTTGGCCAAGAATCAAGTTGTTAAGAGAAAGTCGTGAGCTCGGATGGAGACAGGTAGAGGTTTAAGGTACTTGGAGGGCATGGAGGAGAGATGGTAGGCAGGAGGTAATTGTAAGGGTTGTTCTTGTAAGGTTTATTGCAGTTTAAAATGAGGAAACTGAGGCCAGCATAAGAAAATTAAATGCCAATTTATTTAACTCCCAGAGGTTCCGTGGTCCCGGCAAAGGGGCCAGGGAAGTCGCGCCTGACTCCGCTCGGGTGTGGGGTTTTATAGGGAGTGAAGGCGTTTGATTGGCTGTGGAGAAACAGGACGTGGATGGGGTGAGCTGCTATTGGTAGGTAGGCGGGATTTCCGGTGAGCAGGCTGTGCTATTGGGCAGGTTTTGGCGGGGCTTCTTTTACATTTTGGCGGGGGTTTTCCAACCAAAATTTGCTAGGGTTTTCCACGAAGCACTAGCGGGCTAGGTGCCGAGTGCAGAGTTTAGTGTTGAGTGCAGATTCTGGTGCGGAGTGCAGAAGTGGGCATGTGTTGAGTGCAGATTCTGGTGACATAGTTTTCAGGCGTGGAGGGGGAGGAGCATGTCTGAGCTCCCGGCGAGGCAACCGGCCTTACAGAAATGAACACAGCTCTGAGGTCCAATCACATATCCAGGGCTGGGCAACAAGCCTGTTGATGCAGGTGAGCTTTCCTAGGCAGGGACTGAGGACGCCAGAAAGAAGTAGTTGGTGGTGTAAGAGTGACACTAGTCTCACATCAGATATATCCAGCTTGGAGACCCAGGCTGGTACAGATCTCAACATAGTCACAGAATCCTCACAGGCACACTTATAGCTCAGACTTCCTAAGGATTAGCCCGCCCTTTATTTATTTATTTATTTATTTTTGAGACAGGGTCTCACTCTGTCACCCAGGTTGCTATGCAGTGGCATGATCACAATTCACTGCAGGCTCAACCTGCCAGGCCCAATCAATCCTTCCACCTCAGCCTCCTGAATAGCTGGGACTACAGGCATGCTCCCACACCCAGCTAATTATTTTTTATTTTAACTTTTTGTAGACACGTGGTCTTGCTATGTTACCCAGGCTGGTCGCAAACTTCTGGGCTCAAGTGATCCACCCATGCCTTCCCAAAGCACTAAGATTATGGGCATGAGCCACTGTGCCTGGCCTAATATTAAAATAAGATAGTGCAAGTGCTCATCCCCATGCTGTGGAAGACCTCCTGCAATATCTCTATCCATGGGCTTCCAGGAAGACTATTCTGAGTCAAATCACACTGTAGTCACCCTCAGCCCTAGCCCCAGACCCTAACTGTGGCCCTGACCTCCAACTTTGGCTGATTGAACCCACATCCTGCCCCATGTATTCTCCCCAAATGGCACCAACAAAGGTTGTTGTGTGTAGCAGACTTCTGTGAAAAATGTGGGACAGTAGGAACAGTTATAGTACACAACAGGAAGCAAATTAAAACTCAATATCAGGCAGCATCATTGCTAGAAATTTATCAGCTGTACCGCACCACAGGGAATTCTATACTGGCCATGACTTTCCATGGAATCCCTCCCTCGCTCCCTGTTAGGGTCCCCTTCGTCTCTTCATCCTCCCATCTCCCTTTGTCTTGTCTCTGTATCTTCCATCTCTGCCTCCCAGGCTGACCCCAGAAATTATGCAGGAAATTCAGCTCTGTCTTTGTTCTCTCCCTCACCTTGCAGACCTTGCCAGGCCACTTACAACACCCAAGGGGACCAACAATTTATTGCACAAAACAAAGAGCCATCTCTCATGAGAGAATGATGTCCATCCCCTAGAATGGTAAACTGGCTGCCTTCTGGCCATTCTTTATTTTAATTTAATTTTTTTATTTTTTCAGAGACAGAGTCTCACTCTATTGTCCAGGCTGAAGTGAAGTGGCATGATCATAGCTAACTGCAGCTTCTAACTCCTAGGCTCAAGTGAACCTCCCACCTCAGCCTCCCAAGTAGCT